AGTTAAAAACTTGTTAATATGTGGATTTGGTTCTCATCTGGTTGAATGGATTCGAGTTAAAAACTTGTTAATATGTGGATTTTGAGACGTATTAGATGCATAAAAGAAAACTAAATACATTCCTTTATCTAAGAGGAGATACCTCTCACATGAACTGATTATTTTACTCTAAGCTAGGAGTTATCAGTAAGTACAAAATGACACATAAGGACGGATAAGGAATTCAATAAGAACTTCCCAGGAGTCTTTTAGATTACAACTCTCACATCATTATACCTTCTACTGTCTAACAACTCAATACTATAGCAAAATTTGGCTGATTAAGCGAAGTAACAACAAATTAAATATCGTTTCCGTTCCTATGAGAGAGAGAGATAGAGATAGAGAGAGAGAGAGAGAGAGAGAGAGAGATGATAGTCACATACATGACTGGAACTTAAGCTCTCATGAGGAGCTTGAAGTGTCAACTGGGGTTTCAGCCTCATCTTTGTGAGAAGGTTCAGTGGTGGGTTGAGGGCGACCAGTCAAAGGGTCAATGACGCGGTTGTCACGGGGCCCACCTTTATGCATCATGGCGAGCATTGGAGGAGGTGGCAGAAGACCTGCTCTAAATAAAATCCTTTGCACAGGGTCAGATGGCTGACCACCAACAGATAGCCAGTACCTGTATAATCAATAGACCCGTAGTCAATAAGAACCTCTCTTTCTCTCTCGCTCTCTCTCCGGTGTATGGGTGCATGTGCATGTGTGCATGCATAGATCCTTCATACCCCATTCAACCAAATCTCTCAGTCCTAATTAATCAGTAGAAGATAGTGGAAAAGGAAGAAAGAAGGAAACTCAACAGAAAGAAATTCCTTTTTTTTTTTGGGCGTGAATGAGAAGAATTTTCTCATGCAATTCAATATATTATTTTGGATGACACAAGGACAATCTCAAGATGAGATTATAAAATAACAGAGAACCTTAATAAAGGGAACACACTTACCCAGTAACTTTTTTTTTTTGATATCAATAGCTTGGTTAAAAGACAATATTCGAAGTATCAATAGCTTGGTTAAAAGCAATAACTTAAATTCAAATAGGGCCACACATAGGGACATGTTGCCTCAAATGGCCTTCGCGTGCTCATCATTGTCTGATGGGCAGGCCAGCTATGTCGTTAATTGGTCTGCCCCAATCAAGTGGAGATAGTCTGCCCACAAATCAACAATTGCAAGCATCCTATGTAAACTTCCCCGTTTTAAATTCATACTTCAACAAACTATTGAATGGTTAATAGTTTAAGTTTCATTGAAGCGAATGGAGTCCTAATAACAGTTAACGTAAGCTAATCCTAAATTTCCATAACTTCCATTCTATCACATTTTGAACCTGTCTTCCCATAATCATAATCAGGCTACTTTTCTTTTTTCTGAAATTATCATAATCAGGCTAAAATTTGGCAGGGATGCCAGTCGGATTTCCCCAGTCCAACCAGGGCAAGTCTGAGACAGACCAGGTTATATTTAACAAAATAAAGTAAATAATTTTTTTACCCGGGGTTTTTCGAGGGTTCTTTGGTCTGAAGTAGCCAGCTCCAAATCCAGTCCAACTCGGGAAATTCCCAATTCTGAGTCAGAAAGGCAATATTTGAAACAATATTTAAACTTCCATTCTATCAATTTTTATAACTTTGTTTATTTAGTTAATTGGAACAGCCAATAGGTATATTGAAAATGGAGTTCACAGATGACCGACAAGGCGACAAAAGTCTTCACTCACTAATGGCACAAAACAAGACCAAGCTTGGAATATAAACCAAATTAAATAAATTCCCACATGGTAAGTCCTATGAGGTGCAGGAAATTAGTTGGGTAATTCAGTTTTGGTGAACGAATCGTATTTACTTCACTACCATTTTCGATAGTAATTTTATTACTCTTTTGCAACCATTTTTTTCCTAGAATTATTCCCTTGTCTCTTATTACTCATACTTATTGCATTGTATATTCAATAATTTCTTCCTTATACTATCACTTTCCAAGATTACTATTGCCTTCATGACTCAACAAGTGGATATGCTAGAGTAATGAGTTCAAGCTAGATGGTTTTGAAAGTCGAGTTATTGAGAACAAACTACATATCTAACTGGTATAAAAAATTGGTTGGAGTAGCTTACTTATACGTGGTATTCAAGGCACACCAATACAGTTGGCTGTACATATAAAAATACCTAGAAGCATAAAGGAAGAGTGACTATAAGACAAAGTATCTAAGTAGTTCCTTTGCATTCTTACTCATCATGTCACATGAAGGGGCTCTCGAAGCGTACAATTTTGGAAGTTGTGGCTCATTAATTAGTAAACCCTTACAGTCTTACTTGTCATGCCACATGAATGGGTTCTCTAAGTGTGACAATTTTAGATGATGTAGCTCATTAATTAGTAAACTTAGAGTCTATATGGTGAGCCGAGGTAATTATTATCAACTTCAATACAGCTTATGATCATGTCAATTGGGATTTTCTAAAGCATATGTAATTTTGAGCAAGGACATTTCTCCACTTAGAGCAGAAAAGGAGACTTCAGCATAGGCATTGATGGCTTTATCACTAGACATTCTGTACTGAAAAGAATTTGATTTTCGTTGTTATTTGGTAAGTTGGTGAATATAAACGAGGAAGACCTGACACCAAGTGGTGATGGGAGGATGGTATAACATGCAATAGTTTGGGATAAGAAAGGACAAAAGGTCATGAAACTGCTCCTTAGGAGGTCGTGGACTTGGTGACAAGGTGATCTTTTTTCTTTTTTTGTGATTTTTTTTTGTTTTGTGTGTATGTGTGGGGATGTGTGATGGGGGTGGGACGATTCACTTTTGCTAATTGAAGATAAAGTGTGTGAGTATAAGAAGCCACTGGAGTTTGCTTTCTACAAGTCACAGGAGTGAGGGACAAGAGTTGTCCTTTCAGGGAGATGTAGTCGATTGGATACTGCTGCTAAGATGGAATCTTAAGCTTTTTTGGGTGGTTTCAGCTATATATTATGGAGTTCTTGTGAGTACCCCAGATGCCGTGTTTTAAAAAACAATTTTTTTTGTCTTTTTTTTTTCCTCTTTTTTCTTCTAGAATGTTGTGGTCGTGAAAGCCCTCCTGTATGCTGCTAAAACCATTTATGAAGTCTTCGTCTAAAATGTGGATGAGAATATTCAAGCCAGACATTTTAGATGAAGAAAGTTCCCCCAAAGAGATTGCATACCTTTTCAGTTAATCTCATTAAAGTAAAATTGCTAGTTGGTCCATGGCATCGAGACTTAATCCTCGCTATTATCCATTTATTAGGAAAAGCAGATGATTAAATACTGGTGCAATGACTTGAGAAACACATATATGGAGGATTCAGAACATGGAAGTATCCTGAACTGGTTCCTAATTAACTTGGATTTTCATTGTTTGGTTAAAAACATTTTTCCTTCTATGAGGTAGAACCAAACGGATCATTGATTTAGTGGAGGCCGGTGCCGCGCCAGTGATTGTCCAGGGCCCATGTAAGAAGAACGATGATATCAACTTCAAAGGGAGGGTTCATTCCATAAATACTATTTCTATCTAATGGTCAATCAGGAATGTGGAATAAGGGTCTTGCATGTTACATGGAATTACAGCCCAAAAGATGAACCCCCATGGGACTGATTCCTACCTTGACAGCCCAGAACTTTGAAAAGTATGGGAATACAAAATGAAGCCTTGGCAAGTGGGTTTCTGGGGAAGTTTATACTTTTACACAAAATGTTATACCTTTGTACCATTTGGAATTGGGGCCCCTGGCTCAGTGGTTAGGCTGGACAGACCAAAGCCTAATGTCAATTGTCAAGCGTTCTAATCCCACCATTCACCTACCCAAAAATAAATATGTTCACACAAAACACACATCATCATCCCAGGCCTTATCCCAACTATTTGGGATCAGCTAACACACACATAGAAAATAAAAATTTTAAAAAACAGGGGGGAGGGGGGGGGGGGGAAAGCTAACAGAATAATCATAAAATGCTATATAACTATTCTGGGACATGATATCAAATTGGACTGGAGCATTAGGCCTCTTGGCTAGGGATTAGAATCAGATGGATGTATATATAAGCAGTATTAGCATTCCAAAACCAACGACATTAAGAACAATTCCATTAAAATGATATTGTAATCCCTATTTAGTAGGCGTATTTGCCATGACACCTGATTTGCTACCATCAATCAGAAAATGATATTATCCATGTGCATAGTGAGGTAAACTCGGGGTAACTAGTTTTGTAGACTAGATGTAATCAAGGTAAGGTTTAGGGGTTTAATCATTTAATGCCAACATAGCTCTCTTGAATCATTTCGAAATTTGAAACTCAATCATAATACTCAGAGACAGGTTTTATACTTAAATAAAAAAATAAAGAAGAAGAAATTGTTTCTAAATCTCATCCTAGAGCAAAATGTGAGTCATGCCACTGGGAATGAACTTCAACAGGACATCAATGCCACCCCATGGCAATGAATTTACACCAAGTCCAAAATTAGTTACAATAACAATATAAAACTCTCAAAAGATGGAACTAAGAGTTCATGGGCAAGGAAGTAACAGGAATCAACATCAGAACTTCAAAGAAAATAGAAGATAAAAGCATATACGACGAAATTTTCTTGATTGGTCTAAAGTCTAATCTAAAACTAACCCAAAAAAAGTGAAGCATCAACAACTACCTTTTCTATGGCAGATCCAGGAGACTTCAAAGAAAATATCCACCACCAAAAAATTACAGAAGAATAAACAGACGTATGAGTGTGCTTCAGAACTAAACAAATAATTAAGCAGATAATAAATGGACTTACTTGATTCTATCAAAGTTCATTCCCATGCGCTTACCCCCATCCTGCCCTATACAATTCAAATAACCAAAATTATTTCATTTGTAAAATCCAATAACCAATAATCATAAATAACATACAAAGAAAAGAAAAATCTAATAAATTACAAAAACACGATTGTATGTTTATAAAAATTAAAAAACACAAATGTCAAGATAAGGGTAAAAGCGAAAGCACTCAGTAAGCAATTTCAACAACCGAATACCTGAAATGGAAGAAAAGAAATAATTAACCAATAAACCAATAAAAAAGGAACAGGAAAATGATCCAAAAAAAAAAAATCAAACAAGTACCTGGTAGTGGGTTGTAGTAACCTAAAACTTCAAGGTGTTTTCCATCTCTGGGTGACCTACTATCAGCCACAATTATTCGATAAAATGGCCTGTTTTTGCATCCAAATCTTGATAACCGCAGCCTCACCACCATTTCTTACTATAAGAAAACACCTTCGCAAAGCCAGTTCAGGGAATTACTTCAGAGTTTTTTAATATTAAAATTAATATAAATGTACAGACATATATAAAAAATTAACTATAAGAAATTTCAAAAATTTAGTCCCTGGAAAAAGATTGTCTGAAAAAATCTATTTCTTGTGAAATATATTTTGGAAAATTGTTTCATGCAGGCTGGACTGCATTTCAACATATGCGGTCCAGAAGTGTAAAGCATCCATCTTAAAGATGGATGCAAAAGGGTGGTCCATCTAAAAACAATGGAAACTAACGGTCCAAATGTTTTCTTAATAAAATTATTATTTATAATTTTTAAAATTTATTTATTTTTTCATATTCATGATCTCCATGTTAGCGATTACATGTCCGTAAAAATTAAGTCCAAAAATCCATCTGAAAAATAGGTTTTAAGAGGTGCCGAATTTCTACATATGAGGGGTTGGCCCGCATGCTAACCTCGTCCATATATTTTTGGGAAAAATATTTCCTGTAAAATGGATTTCTGATGTTTGGATAGCATATAGATGGAACATGGAAGATAGAATTCTACTGTTTGGATCATTTGATACGAATATCTAGCATTACTTTTACATGTAATTATACTCAAATTTATTTATTAGGATAAATGTATCATACTTTACCACAATATTTTAATGTCTTTTTTTTTTTACTTTTTGTTAATTTTTTTTTACCTAGTAGATTTTAATGTAGCCGACCACAAATAGTTGGGAAAAAGCTCTTACAATGATGATGAGATTTTAATGTATAGGCACGATGTTATGTTACCCAAATATTTTTTTTCATTTCTCATAGGTCACTTCTTTACACAAGATTGCAAAAAGAACATAACTAGAGAAGGTACTATTTGATAGGTTCTTAATTATTATTGATGTCACTACAAAGAAAACTCACAGTCAGATTGCCCATACATCTCAAGTTGTTAATCTCACAATGTCCTCATTAAATTAGTTTGTAAGCAGCCAAGTTTCACTCTCTTTGTTTAAACAAGAACCAGGATCTAAAGTAGAAAACCCAACTAAAGCTGGAAAATTTAGATCTTCCAAATTGGATTTATTAAGTTTCAAAAGATGGGTAAAGCTCCAAGGTGATCAAGAAAAAAGTTGAGGCTTCAAATTTAACGAAAGAATACCTACCTTGGTAGCAGGAATACCATTCACGAACAAGACCTATATAACCAAGCCTCAAGCTTTTTGAAAAAGCTTTCTTTAGAATATCAGGTTGGTTAGGGGAAACATACATAAAAAAACCTCAAAGTCCTTTGAAAGATTTCTTTAAGAACTTCATGTTGATTATTCTGGGGAACCTTATCACCGCATATAGGAGTTCTTTTGGGAAGTTAGTGTGCTTAGACAATCTAAATTCATGCTTTATGTTCTCAACCTTAGATTATATGGAAAAGAGTCGACAGCCAGACATTTCTATCAAATATTTTAAGGTGCCCACATGCAATATAAATACCTAGTTATTCATCATATTATCAGGTTGAACCACTATAACCTTAGGCAAATTTCCTGGCCATATTAATGGGCAAATTCATAGAAACCTTTTCTATAAAAAAAAAAATTCTATCAACTTAAATCATCAAAAGGAGACCCAATAAAGTCTAGCAAAGAAACTATTCGAGTCCATTTTGAGCTTTTCTATCCTTGATTAAATCCTTTTCTCTCCCAAGGATCTGAAGCATTAAGGTAAACTATAGCATCTTTCATGATACAATGTCTTGTCTTCTAATCATGTTAGTGCTGTTTTAATTTGTAGGTCTGTATAATGTAGAAGCACATGAGAAATTACAACTGACATAAATGGTATGATTAAGTAATTGGTAAACAATGCATACAAAATCCGACAATACGGTTTCTACCTTTCAATTTGGAATTTTACTTTAACATCTTTATTGCTCTCTCTAGGAAAAACCACTAACATTTCCATAGAGGCAAGGTAAAAACCACAACATCAATTCGAAAATCCATCAAAACCCAAGTAACTAGAAAACCAAGGCATACAAGAATCACACTGAACATACAAAAACAAGGTGCTGTCTTTTCCGGTCCAAAAGCCAAAAAAACAAAGGTAAACAAATTAAGAGAAGTTGCTGCCTTTTCCATTCCACAAACAAAAAAAAACAAAAAACAAAAAACAAAAAAATCTTACCTCGTGGGCTCTTTACTAAGCTTTTGCTGTCCTCTTCCAAAACCCTATCTAGGGTGTTAAATACAGAGATTGAAAATCCTAAAAATTTATCTAGGGTGTTAAATGCAGAGACTAAAAACTCTAAAAAATTTGTTTAGAGAGAGAGAGAGAGCGAGAGAGAGAGAAGATTTTGGGGGAGATGGAGAGAGATAGGAGTAGAGGAAAAAAAAGGGTGTTTGTGCTTGATAGAGATTAAACAAGTAAAATACAAAAGATGCCCTGAAATGCGAAAACTTTCGAATACAAAAAAAAAAAATCAACGAATAAATCACCAGTAGATGTAGAAAATTACTGCAAAGTTAAGAAACCGCAAAGGAATCACAAGAACAGAAAAGTTTTAATTAACAAAGAAAATTATGGAAATGTTTTCTGAAATTATTGAACAAAAAGGCTAAGAGAATAATAAAAGCACTAAATCAATGCTAAATATTCCCCAAAAAAATAGACAAATTTCTCAAGACATGGATCATAGGTTAGCGAGAGAGAGAAAGAAAGCTCAGAGATGAGAGAGAAAGAGGAAGGAAATTTAGCAGGTTAGAGGAGAGAAAAATGGAAGGAAGAGAGAGCTTAGAGAGGAGAGAGAGAATAATCATTACCTGGCAATAGGAAAGCTAGAAACTGCCTGTAATATGGTTAATTATGTATTTTATATATATGATGTGCGAAATGTCATTTTTAATAACATTTTGTAATTAAATAAGGTTCTTTGCACTTTCGATACCTTGGATCGATAATCCATGAAAATGGAGAGATTGAGGAAGATGTCGTACATAGAATTAGAGCTGGGTGGGCAAAGTGGAGATGTGCAATGGAATTTTATGTGATCACCGCATACCAATGAAGCTAAAGGGTAAGTTCTATAGGACAGTTGTGAGACCAGTTTTGCTTTATAGGGGAGAATGCTGGGCAAACAAAAAACAATATACCAATAAAATGAGTGTACCGTAGATGAGGATGGTGAGATGGATGATTGACAAGACAAGAAGGGATAGAATCCAAAATGAATTCATTTGGAAAAGTTTAGGTGTGGCATCAATTGGAGATAAGATGAGAAAGAGTAGACTTAGGTGGGCTAGCAATGTCTGATGCCAACCCAGTATAACACCTATTAGGAGGTACGAATTAGTTCAAGTGGAAGGATTAAAAGGAGGTACGAGTTAATTCAAGTGGAAGGATTGAAAAGGGTAAGGGGTAGGCCCAAAAGGACGTAGTTGGAAGTAGTCCAAAAAGATATGGGGACTTATGATCTCACTGAGGGTATGACCTTAGATAGAGCAGAATGACAGACCAAGATTCGTGTAGCTAACCCCAATTAATAGGGAAAAGGCTATAAGGATGATGAATTAAACAAGGTTCCTTCCATTCATCCAATATAATACCAAGCATTTAAATAGATTAAATGAATACTTTATTGTGCTTGGAGATTTCATAAAAGTGTGAACCCCCTTTGATGCTACCAATATTTGTATAAATAAGAAACAAAATTGATTTTCTTACTACCAAAATTTCACTCAATGCACAGGCAGCCTGCAGCCTTCAAGAGCAAACATATGCCAGTTATTTAAGAAATAGATATTTAAAAGTTTCAGCTAAAAACCATTCCATTTTGCCACCACACCAATACATTATTGAAGATAAGTTTCTCATTTGAAATAGCAACACGAAAGCAATCACTTGAACATAAAGATCGAGAGAGAGAGAGAGAGATTAGATGGCAATCTTATGGTACGCGCATGTATGAATACACTAACGATGGAGCAGGACCCTATACAAAAGTATAGAAATCCTACAAAGCAACACATAATCAATTGCAATTCACTGTCAAAAGGAAGCATGTGCCTCCAGCAAGAGGAAGATCAATAGCATGGCAAATGTGTGTAATATACAGATTTCTGACGACAAAGCAATTGACATGAAGAAATAATCAAGGCATTTCGTTATTTCACGGAACTAAAATTTGAGAAAGCCCATTGACAGAACCCTCAATGTGATGGAAAGGGCTAAGAAGCCCTCACCCTAACTTTTCATTGAAAGCAAATCCAAAATGCCGAACCCTAAACCCCCAAATCAACTGAAGATAGAGAAAATTGAAACCATAGGAAATAAAGTGAGACAAATCGTCAATATTTATGCCTATCTACAGTTCAGAATGATTAAAGCCATTCTCTTCCACACACATGGAAATAAAATAACAAAAAATAAAAAACCTAGATACATAACCAAAGAAAACAAGGATGCAGAATTAATCATCCATGAGAAAAAAGAAAAATAGCCCACCAATAAACAATTTCTACAGATTAACAAGAAATCATTAATAACGAAAAAATTTACCTTGAGAAAAAAGCGAGATTCAACTCACTCGGGTGATCCTCGATGTTGCCTTCTTTGAGCAATAAAAGCCTCACCTATCTCTGCTAATCTGAGAATCCCTCTCTCTCTC